TTAACATTTCAGGTCTCAAGGCATTGAGATGAGTGTTCACTTCATCATTCTCACTCACATCTCATTCAGAAGCCTGCTTTCTCTTGATATTCACAGAATTCAGAGAGTCTTCTAACACAGACATCTCTTTCACTTTGAAGACTTTTCATAGAATATCAGTGAGTGTCTCTGAGCTCACTGATTCTGCTAGTTTTTTGACTCTCTTGCTTCTCTTGACTGTGTATACTGTGTGTAATCTTTTATATCATGATTTTGACATCTGCAGTTGAAGCAAGCTCAATGCTTGTAACATTAAGATTTTCATCTAGAGAATTTCTTTTTTAAGGGATTCAGTGCTTTAGCAATAGCATTCAAATCTAGATTCATTGTGTTCAGGTGTGTGACTTGTGTCATAGAAGTCTGATTATCTATTCTCTGTTAAGATATACTCAATTACAGTATTTTCTGTTACAGTTGATTTGCTTGTTCCTGTATAATAAGAATATTATATGCTTTCTTCACTATATCTGACTGTGAGGTTAAGCATTTTCATTTCACTCTTAACTCAGATGTAAGATCATGAATGAAGATCTGTAAACAGAAAGATGTTAAAAGCTCTTCATTTAATGTAAGATAGTATAAACTGAAGTGTGTGAAGTATAATATAAGATTACTCACTTGTCTACACTCAGTGAAGTGTTCATAACACTTATCTTATATATTCACTTTCTCAAAGTTGTGCAAGATTCATTTGAAAAACTTATTTCATGTTTATAAGAATGAATATCACTCTGAGTCTGTGAGATTCATCTTTTTATCAGTTATTTATAATGACTTCACTTTTCTGTGTAGAAATACAGCAGATCTTAAGACTTGTTGAAATTCTGTTAACTGTCTGTCTGTAAGTTCATGTTTGATCTGATAATATAATTGTATCTGACTTAGTCAGCTAATTACAGTATTATTTTTTCAGTCATTATTGAAGCTTGATGACTTCAGCAGATCTTCTGACTTGATATATTTCATACTCAGATTCTCATTCTGCACAGTGATCTCTGATGATATGTATGCTTCTGAAGAGGTTGTGAACAATTGTGATGAAATCTTCAGATTCAGTATAGTCATCTGTCTGTGTAAATATTTGATCTTCTGCTACAGGTCTAAGACCTGGTTTTCTCTATTCTTATTGATGATGATGATTGCATCAGTGAACCTCTTCATAGTGAATGCTTGATTTACAGTGAATATCAATTATTATTTGACTTTCATCTCAGCCTGTCACTGTATACACAAGGTCTCAATTTCATTTAGAATTCTTGTACACATACAGAGCTTCAATTTCAGTTTGACAGTCTCAGCTGCTTTTCTTACTGCTTCAAGTAAACTTTCTGAGAGATTCTACATATCTTTCAGTTCAGATAGCAGAGAAGAATGTTGTTTGTATTAACTAGAGAAGATATTCATTTCAGTGATTTCTTGTTGATTGTACAATGTCTATCATTATATCACTATATTATTATATCACTATATTATTATATTGCTATATCATTATATGATTTCTGTTGTCATTGTACAACTTCAGTGATAATCATTCCCCTCTTTTTATTCTTCTTTTAGATAGAAAGCAGACTTCTTTGAATCTCATTCACTGCTTTTATTCTCTTTCTCACATCTTATCTGTTTGTGTATCATACATGGCATTTGCCTGAGCATGGAGTTTTCTCTCAACAAGCAAAGCAGCATCAATCAGATACTCTTTCACTCATCACTCTTCATACACTATCTTTTGAGATGTTCTAGAACCACACTGGCATGATAACTATAAATCACTTTGTAGACAGAATTATCACACTCTGAAGAAGCCTGCACTTCTCACCAGTTTTTAGACATGCTATCAGATGTGTTTCAAAGGTTGCTTGAGCCAGTGTATGATTACAGGCGTACACTGGCTTCTTATATACTGTATGCTAAATTAATTGGTGGCCGCTATGGCCCCTTTACATTTATAAGCAAGTTCGGAAGCGGCCGCGTTATTATCCGGCGGTCGTACGTTCTTCCGAACCACATATCTTATATGTCTGAGGTGTCAGAACTCTCAGATCTTTCACTGATATTCTCTTGTAAGATCTTACTCTCTTTGTAAGATCTTATTACAGAGTCAGAGCAACTGATAAGCAAGCTTCTATCTGAGAACTCAGTGTCTGCTTAACTGTTTAACTGTTTCTCTATTTCTTACATATCATTACACATTCAAATATCTCAGTGAGTAATTGTTTCTAATAAGAAGACAATGAACATGAATAATCATTTCTAATAAGAAGATAATGAATGTTTTTCAAGTGTAAGAGATCTACACTGAATAGATCAGTATAATATATAGGTCTTATATAACAAAGTGAAAAACATTAAAGAAGGAAAGAAAGAGAAAGTGTGGAAATCAGTGATTGAAGTGAATATTTATACATATATATGGTGATGTACACAGTGGAACTTCAGGGTGAAAGAATAGAGGTTTTCATACATGATGAAGCTTTGAGATGGAAGAATAGAAATTTCATAGGTTTTCAGCTGAGAATCAGCGACTGAGAATCGGAGTGGTAGAAATCTGTGAAGTGTAACGGAATAGTCCATATGATTGATTGGGCGCAGCCTGTCACAATAATTATTCTTCACACTTATACTCTGTCAGTGAATATTCTTCTGAAGCTTTTAAAAGCTTCATTAATAAACACTCTGAAACACTCTCTTAATTCAAAGCTGGTTTGAATACAGCTTCTGATACAGTCAGACTGGCCTCTCAATCTACTTAACAGCTTAATACTGATTCTCTTGATGAGAATAATAAACACTCAGATATCTACTATTCAGATGAGATAATATCAGATTAACAGATAAAACATCTTAAGATAATATTTAAGATGAAGAAGAAGAAGTAAAGAGTTCTAGAACTCAAATTATAACTGAAAAAACTCTGTCAATAGAGATTCTCTATGAATTAATCACAGAATATTAATAATTATTCTGTCATCATTTTAACAGTCTGTACAGTCACATGAGATTCTAATCTTAGTGAAAGATTGAAATTCAATCTTTATAAACTGAATAGCTATGTTGATAAGATAATCTCTTAATTCAAGAAAGATATCAAGAACACTGTGAGATTAAACAGTCTAACTGATATATTCAATTACATTATATGAAGCATCTTTATGAAATTGAAACTAATTGATACACAGTGTTGATATATGATAGAGAAATAACAGACTCAGAACTCTCTATAAAGAGATAATAAATGAGTATTATTCTAAAATATCAGAAATCAGTGACTCTATACATTCATCTCAAACTTCTTGAGTGCAGGTGTCAGATCACATTTCTTCAAATATAATGAAAATTAAATCACTTATACTCTATGAAATGTGATTGAATAGAAATACTCTGTCTTTAAAACACAGTTACACTGTGAGACAGTTCTGAAATTTATATTACTTAGTAACACACAGATCATTAATCTACACACATTCTTTGATAAGTTTCAGTCTATTATTATAAAGTTGAAGATGATGAATACTTTCTTGTCAGATGTGTGAATATTTAATATCTTCTACTCAGTTCTATCTAATAATTGAAGAAATTATGTTCAGAAGAAGATAGAGAAAATACAGGATTTCAAATTCACAGCTGTGATATTAAATATTGATTTTCTCATGAAGAAGATCTGTTCACAGCTTAATTCTTCAAAAGATAAAAAGAATCTATAGAATACAGATTCTGCAGTTAACTCTGCTACAATAGCTACAATAGTAACTATAGCTATAATAATCACTACATCTATCAATTCTAATAATAACAATACATTGAATTCAGCCTGTGATAACTGTAATGAATGTAATTGTAGTAATATTTAAGAGAGCTTCTGAAATTATCAGAGATCAGACAATTCATCTACATATTCTAAATATAAGAGATCTCACTTTGACATCTGTTAATTAGTCAATTCTGACAGTACTTCAGATAATTGAAGAATCTACAACACTGCAAGAATAAAGAAATTCAAAGAAAAGAAGGAAAAGAACAATAGTAAGAGTGAAACTCAACTATTCATTACAGATGAATCAGAGATCTTTCAGATGATAAATCTTACAGAGATTATCAATGTATCAGTCTGTTTCATGAAACTTCACAAGAATCTCTTCAATGAGTGTTTATACATATCAAAGAACATCATCTTTCAGAAGAATCTTCATCTTGCTAATTCATTAATACTGATAATGAATAATCTGAAGATTCTATTCAATGCAGTCTGTAAAGCAGCTGCAGTGATTTCTTTGACAATATCAGATCTATCTGCTGTAACAATTTCTGTAATAATTTCTGTAATAATTTCTTTAATAATTTCTGATTCATCAATTGATGATCTGTTCATTGATGAGGAAATTCAACCTGAGTGTTCATTATTTCTTATACTCACTAATAATTGATGAATTGACTATGATATCTCTGTGAGAATATCTACTCTTTTAGTGCAGAATACACTGAACTTCTCAGAACTCACAGTTGAATCTGATGACTTTCTGACATCTATAAGAAATATCACTATAGTGAGAGACTCTACAGTGAGGGAATCTTCAGTGAGAAACAGTCTTGAAGATCTACTCACTGATTCTGAGATCACTGCACTTCTGATTTCAAAAAACCTCACACATGTCAAAGCTTTTATGAAATGAAAGTATTATTACAAGACCTGTGTTAAAGAGATCAACTGTTTGAAATATACATATTGAAAGAAGAATATGAAGATGAAGGAATAGAGGGATAAAAAATGATGTATCTCATGACTGGTTTTTCATTGCTACACATTTTCCAGTCATTTTTTGTACCTGTACTTGATTTGAAGGCGAATTTTGTATATAGCATTGTGTATAGTTACTCTGATGAGTGGGGGTGTCAGGTCACGTGATCTGGCTTACTAATCCTTCCACCATATAACTTTCCACAAGCTAGCAACCTTTCAATCACACAAGCTTTACACCTTCCACATATTCACCATCAATTTGGAAATGAAAGGACTGGGTTCAGCCACCACGCTAAGCCATATTAGGCTACAAGGTTAATTTGACTTTCTTCCCCTTGAAAGTCAGCGAGTCTTAAGAGTCCGCTTTTCGACTCCCCAAGCTCCGTGTCTACAACTCTTGTTCCGTCTACTTGGAATGCTCCGAAGCGGAAATGGACGTCCTCTGGTCCATCTTCGCCAAATGTAGCGACTGCACGCTCAGCCCATTACTCACCGCGGTAATTGGACTTGGTCTCACAGCATGGACGCTCAAACAGTACGTGTTTGGTCGTGAAGCATCTCCTGTCACCTATCAGGTACCAATTCCCTCAGAGCTATCGGATCAATGGGATGGGAAGACGTGGGACGATGTTAGTGTAAAGGATAGGAGAATTCTGGAGGGCCAGGCAAATGGAGTAAGTTTGATCCTGGTGAAAATGCAATTTGATACCTACCTAGGTAGTAAAACCTTTGTTAGCAATGGAGTGCGCGGACTTGTGAAGTATATCAGTGCATTATCGCTAATGATTTTTCCTTTTCTTATTGAATTTAGAAATGGGATGAGAAGAAAATTCTTAGTTATTGTCCTGCTGACGGACGTATACTCGGAGACGTAAACTCTGGAATCAAACCAGCTACGAAGCAGGATATAGATCTTGCGCTCACACGAGCAGAAGCTGCGCAATCGATATGGCAGCATACGACCTTTGCTGAGAGGAGAAGGGTATTGAGAACCCTATTGAAGTGCGCATATGAGCCCCAACCACAGTACCTTGCTACTACGTTTGTTGCTTCGACTGACAATTTGATCCACTCAACAGGTATATCCTTAACCATCAGGATGAAATCGCTTCTGCATGCTGTCTAGACTCAGGAAAAACGAAAGTTGATGCCGCGTTTGGCGAGATCTTGGTTACGGTTGAGAAGCTAAAATGGACTATTGACCACGGAGAGAAATCCCTTGCGACCGACCGCCGACCCACGAATCTGCTTATGATGTACAAAAGAAACACCGTTCGTTATGAGCCGCTTGGTGTCATCTTGGCCTGCATATCATGGAATTACCCCTTCCACAACTTGATCTCACCGGTTATTAGCTCAATATTTGCTGGAAATTCTATCATTATTAAGCCCTCTGAACATACAGCTTGGAGCTCCCTCTACTTTCGTGATCTCATACGAGGAGCACTTGCTAGCTGTGGGCATCCTGAAGACCTGGTTCAGACAGTCGTTTGTCTTCCTAAGGAAGCAGATAGTTTAACATCTCATCATGGCGTGAACCATATCATTTTCATTGGCTCCCGAGCTGTTGCGCACCATGTCTGCAAATCATCCGCCAAGTCACTCACTCCTGTCACTGTGGAACTCGGGGGCAAAGATCCTGCTGTTATTCTCGACGATCCAGCCACCATCAAGGGCCTTCCTAGTATTACCTCCATTCTCATGCGGGGGGTTTTTCAATCCGCTGGCCAAAACTGTGTTGGAATTGAACGCATTATCGCACTCCCTGGAACCTATGACAAAATACTGGAAGCCGTCACCCCTAGAGTAAAAGCACTCCGCCTCGGATCCGTGCTCTTTGAATCGAATGAATACTCAAAGAATCCGGGGCTGGGACTTTCAACCCCCGACATGGGAGCCATGGTCTCTCAGAAGACATTCGACGAATTAGAAGATTTGATCTCTGAAGCCGTGGATCAAGGCGCGCATCTCATCCATGGCGGCAAACGCCATAGCCACCCGAAATATCCGTTTGGGCATTATTTCACGCCTACGCTTCTAGCCAATGTGACTACTACAATGCGGATCGCACGCACCGAGCTATTTGCACCCGTCTTCCTCCTTATGCCAGCCAAGGACGTTCCTGATGCCATTAGAATAGCAAATTCCACAGAGTTTGGGCTAGGTGCGAGCGTTTTCGGGCATAATCGAAGGGATGTCGAGAAGTGCGTTTCGCAAATCAAGGCCGGGATGGTCTCCGTGAATGACTTTGCCACATACTATGCCGTGGGACTGCCATTTGGGGGAGTAAAAGGCAGTGGGTATGGCCGATTTGGCGGGGCAGAAGGGTTGAAGAATTTGTGCAATATGAAGGCGGTCTGTGAGGATCGGTACCCATTAGTTCAAACACATATACCGCCGCCTGTCGATTACCCGATTCAGAAAGGGGATGTGCACAAGAAAGACGGACGGGGCGCGTGGGAGATGTGTAAGGGCATTGTGGAGACGGGGTATCAACCCTCTCTTGTTGGGAAGGTGAAAGGTGTGGGGAAGATTCTAAAGAATTTATAATCTATGATCACTGCACACCAGAAGCAATGAAGCGGTTCGGAGCAGACGCATGTCTCTTGGAAAACTGGAATGCTGGATTGTACAATATCAAATGGTAACACTCCTTAATCACATTAATCATGAATACTACCCAACTAATTGGGTGGGACAAATTTTACACACAGATTTTGATGAAAACCATATTCAGAACACAAGGAAAAGGCATATACAAAAGCAATGTGTGGTTGAAATGGGATATAGAGTACTGTACAGGGCGATATGACAACGACAGACAACAATGGGGTGTTCAGGTATTCAAAGACACCGCAAAGGCCGCGTCGCAGTTCCTCAATTAGAACAACATTCAGCTCATCAATCTCCCACAAAGCACAAAGTAGTCGTTATCTTGTCAATACATGCGAAACTGGCCATAAAAATACGTTCATTCAATCATCAAATATCAAAATAAGGCACAACAGCCAAACAAGCCTCACGGTCTCCTGGCCCCAAGCTCAACTTGTCTTCTCACAAGCAAGCCTCTAAATTCTGGTTCTGGTCAATCCATGTCGGCGTCTACCGGTGGTATGCGTCCCCATGCTCCTCCTTCGCCTCGAGACGCCGCCGCAGGTCAGGCAAGAGATTACGGCATTGAAAACAGACACGATACCGCTGACGATGGCCGTGATTACGGACCCGATTGTGCTGACAATGGCCATTAGACAGGCCCCTAGTGAACGAAGAGCTCCTTGGATCTGTTTCATGAGAGAGAAATGGTGTTAAAAAATGAATAGGGCCACTTTTGGAATGGCGGTTGAGAAAAATCCCACTCACGCATGAAACTACGGCGCCCATTGTGAAGCTCTGGTTCTGTTCCTCTTGTTTGCTTTGAGGGTATGTATATGTGGATATGTTGAATGGGTATACTATAAGCTTGAATGTATTTGGGAGGCAGCTTTGTGTTGTGTTGTGTAGAGTTAGAAAATATGTACGGTGGGCTCTGGGTATCAGGTTCGAATGATATATATGTAGGTAGATATATAGATGTAGATAAATAAATGAAAATTGTTTGAGAAGATATTATGCTCCGACCTTGAAATCGAGGAACTTTACCCCAGTATATAGAGAGAGACAGGCTCAGATAGAAACCCGACGACGAAAGGAATTACTTATACTAAAATGCCATGATTTCAATTATCTACGCCTGATGATCCCATTTCTAGCATCAAACCTTGTAGGAAGGTGTCAAGCACGACCATGACCATCGTCATAATTATATTTAGATATATTTTTGTCTGTGGGATGGTTAATCTCTTGTCTCTTGTGCGCTGACGTCGGGACCTGGTGGCAAGTGTTTTTTCCCAAACAGGAAATACAAGTTGGCGGGAGAGATTAAACAGTGACGTCAAGCTGACATCATCTTACTTCTTCTGGTTTAGCGTCATTTTATGCAATGCTTGTTCTTGAAACTACACTATTCTATATATAGGCATATAAGCGAGGGCGGTGTAGAACGACATAATTACCTCGAGGATGAAAAAAATATTTCAGCACAGAGAGTAGTTAGTTATTTATATTTCTTCTGCTCCCTCTATTCTATCTTCCTTCACTTGGTTCTAAGGGGACGAGGCATGAAGAAAAGGAGCAAAATGGGTGGGGCTAGTTGACTCTCTAGTGATTTCATGTCTCCAGAAACCATGTTCAAAATCAACTTCCAGAAAACATGGGTGACGATGATCTGACTCCGATACGGGTCAGGGGCAAGAGACATAAAATACCAGTCTCTCAGGACAAAGAGACGGCGCGAAGAAGACAAAAGCGTCGTGGTAAGTATCCGCAGGGCCGTGTCCCCGTTAAACCCAGCAAGCGGAAGGTTCAGGAAAATATCCCGCCCCGCGATGGCAAGAGAATAAAGTCCGAGGGCACCAAGATCAGCCGCCTCGAAGCTCTGCCAGCGGAATTGATTGAGAAAATCTTCCTCGATTCACTGGAGCCTAATCTAGCCTGGGCATCGCCGCGTTTTGGGGCCATACTGTCCAGGAAGCGCATCTACAAAATCTTAACTTTCCTCGCCTTCTTCAACGACCATGAACCTCCAGAGCTGCCTCCAGACGACAACGTCGCCTCTTTCATCTCAAACATTCTCCGGCCTCTGAAATACGTACCTCTGGATGTTGATACGCAAAAGTCGCTTCAGCATGATGTCCTCGGCTGTCGATGGTTCACTTTACCTCTTCTCAAGGAATGCCAACGTGATATGTTTTACGCGGCGATGCAGAAACGAATTTTTGGTCCCAGTGCACCAACTGTGGCATTCGATCCCGCATCGAGAGATGTTTTGAATCAACGCCTTGGTGAGGAGGACCCCGGGCAATGGAACATGATTTTACCAGGAACTATCCGGCGTGATGACCTTTGTGCTTTGTATATTTGCCCTTCAACAGTTTCGTTTATGGAGCCGTCGGGGGTTGCTCACTTCTTACCAATGGTCATTTGGACAATCCCTGACAAATTTTTTGAACGGCGGCCGTGGACTGACGAAAAATTCCAACTTCTACATCACCTGCTCATGTTTACTCCTTATGGCCTGGTATTAGATGTCCCTGCAGAGATTTACCCCAGTCTCTCTTCGTTCGATATTCCACGGGAAAGAATACAAGATTGCATTCATCATGCCATCATGGAGGAAAACGTTTGGATTCTGTCTGAGCTATTGGCATGGGATGAAAGGGCTTATAATTGCGCTATTAACGGCGTGGACATGCCCGAGTATGAGATACGCGGTGAACATTTCATAACCGCTGTAAAGCGATCCGAAGGCCCGGGTCTTCTGCAGGTTTTACTACGTGGAGGTGCGGAATCGATACCGCATGACGACCCGGAAATTACGGAATGGGCATTGAGACAAAAAAATGGTGAATTTGGTGAATTTGGTGAATGGCTCCTGAGCTATCTCGTTGAAGTGCCACCTCGAAGGCAGGGTCTGTTCTCGCTCTTTGAGGGCGGCTGGGCTTTGCGTTACCGCCGTGGGCGTGATTTTCCCGATGATCCACAATGTTACGTTTGGTGGGAGGGATTTGAAAAATATGTCAAAGATCAACTGCCCAAGGGTAGACACTCACGTAGCCTTTTGCACTCCTTTTTAATGACGCCTGACTGGTCACAGTTGAGCATGATTAAACAGAAAAAAGCCGAACATGGGTAGTATATAGACTATTATCATCGTCCCCATCTTTCATACATACTAGATCTTCTCCTTTTTATAAAAGTAATCGGTGGGTGTTGTGATGAGGAAATACTCTTCAGTTCTATTTCTAACCCCGCCCCACCCTTATCCCTGACATGGACAACTCTAGAGCCAATGCAGATTCTCTTCGGAGCAGTTCAGAGCAACGATCCTCGAAACATGTCCGGGATATGCACCTTCAACTAACAAAAGGCAAATTATATACCTGCCTGCATCTTTGCCAATCGCGGCACGCATTTTTCGAAACTTACTTTCACGGCGAAAAGCGAGAAAGAGATAGAAACAGAAATACTAATCTAAACTCCCTCTATTGGAATTATATATCCAAAAGATAGAAAATCTGCTTTTCTTTTTTGCCTTGTTATTTTATTTTTATTCATTTATATTTTCTTATACTCTGTATACGCCCGCCCACCTGTTCTCCAGAACTTAAAACGAGCCATTCGTTCTCGCACAGTTACCCAGCTAAAGAGGCAGAACAAAAAACCGTCATCAGCAACAAATAGTAAATGTTCCTTCAGCCGTACTTTGTCCATACCCAGGAGCCTGGCTCCTCGACGCAGCCACGTAGTTAGTTACTGTACATTAAAGGGCACTTTTCAACAGAGCCAATGACACTGACGCGCTGAAAATTTCTGCAACACTGATCGAGTATCGATCCACGGTGAAGAGGCTCGGAGGAATTTGGAGGCGTTGCTGAGCAATGACCATATGTACTGCAGAGTATTTCAGATGTACCCATCCGTGGTTCGTAGTTCAGTTGCTGCAGCAGGCCAATCAATGAGGTACATGTACTGCTTTTGCTATTGTATAACTGTATACAAGCTGGCTAGCTAGAGAGTTTTATTTTCATCCCAATTCGTTACAACCATATCCTTCGTGATGTTAAGAGAGCAAGGAAATCATATATGACGCGAGCTTCAGATGGGCGATATTGGCACTGATGGCCCCAGGGTTTTGATAAAGGAAATCTTTTTTATTCCACAAGCTCGTAAAACTTCTTCTTCAAGGGCATGAGAGATGAATAGTATGAACCCAGCAGTCGTCACGGCTAGTCAAAAAGCGAATCAAAATAGCTAGCCTGTCGGTTACATTTCAAGCTGGAAACGGGAAGGAGATAACTAGTTATGTCATCATTATCATCATAATAGAAGCAAGAGATGATCAAAGTCAAAAGAGCAAATTTCAACAGCAAAAAATATATAAATATAAATATAAAAATGAAAAAATGAAAAATATAAAAAATATAGAATGAAAATGAAAAAATAACCACCCTTGACTGCCCACATCAACTGTACTTTCATCATAAAATTTTCAGCTTTCAAAGATTTCCCTCTCCCTCTCCCTCTGTTCATACTTCACCAAGAGAGCCTTGATACTTTGATCCGTAGCCGGAACCTCCCCCTTGCGATCCGTAAACAAAATCCTCAAGAACGGATCATCATCCTTCCGATCTGCCATTCTAGCAGCAGCCCGGTAATGCGTCTGTCGAACCGGCCACGGGAACGGATACCCATAGTTCTTGGCGCGGATGTGCATGCCGAGCATGTACTTGAAGGTCTCTAGGTCACGGTCGTCAATTACCTGCCGTAACACGGCCTTGGATCGATCGCGCCGTTCGTTTTCGTCGATGTATGCTTCTGTGGATAGAAGGGTTAGGAATTCTAGTTTTTCGGGTGTCCAGGGTGGGCAGAGGAGGCGGTCGGGTATCCGGCAGGGCTCACGGGTGCTACAGGAGGGGAGGCGGAAGACATCTGTCTCTTGGAAGATGGGGCTTCGTTCACGGATTTGGACGGAGCCGGAGTTGAACCAGATTGCTATTTTGCGCGAGGCACTGTGCGTGCTGGCAGCTGAAGCGCCCAGAATAATGCTCATGTTCGTGGTGTTGGGAGCGGGCGTGGGCGTGATGGGAATGAATGTAGAAGTCGAGGGGTTATTTTCTGGCTGTATATTTGGTGGTTGGGATATCCGAGCCTCGACGGTGAGATCACCGCTGCCCCGGCTCCCAGGGGGCCGAGGGTCGAAGCGGTCCATGGATTCCCAGTATGGCTTGAGATTTTCCAATTTCTGGCAATCGGCGCAAGATATTCTGAGATATTTGCATTTTTCACGTATAACATGTTCCACATGCTCGCGCTGGCATTTGCGCATGAGAGGTAAAGTGCACCATCGGCACTTGAGGATTTCAGTTTGAAGGGAAGCCCGTTGCGAAGCTGAGAGGGAAAAGTAGTCAAGGGGGAGGTAAGGCTTTGTGAAGAAGCCAGTTCGGGCCGACTCATTGTTGCTGCTGAAGGCTAGGCGGATGAGCCAGGTATGAATGACATCGTTGGACAAGGCAAGGGCGATGGGGAGAGATGCGCGAGGGAGATTAATTTCTAGACATTCGAAGAATATTTTCTGGATCAGTTCGATCGGGAGCCGTTCCAATGGTGTCCTTCGTAGAGAGTGATGCCATTGTTGATGTTGCCGCGGGCTATCCATACTGGGCCGGGGCATGCCTAGGGCCCCCATTGACGGATTCATTAAGCCTGGTCGTGTATCTGGAGCCTGGCTCTGGCAAGCATGTACATGTATGTACCTTCCGACGGCGTGGATGGGAGCTCGTCTCGAGACATCCACAAAGACTCCGCTTGAACAGCTTTCACCCTTTGGTATCCAGGTGGTTGAATTGGGGTGAACTAAATATGAATAACTGTCTCAGTGCAACTGTTTCCGGCCGTCAAGTCTATGCGCTGCGGAGGAGGAGCCGATAGATGCAAAAGAGTCTGACAGAAGGAGGAGCAGCGAGTTTTGAACACTGTGTGTATATATTTGGACGTGTGAAGCGAGGTTTTCGAATTTTCGTCTGCGCAGTAGAAGGAGCCCAGAGCGTTCAAAGCGGATCGGACTTCGTCAACATCCAGATCCTAGTCTGTTTATCATGTGTAGCGTTATTATTGAAGTAACCGGGCTTCTTGTCCAATTTTTTTTTTTTGTATTTTTCTTTTGCCTTTATTGCTTATCCAGAGAAAAACAATAGAGGGTGGCTCGTGTTAAAGAGGAAGGGCGGGGGGAGGAATTAGATCAATTCAATTTTCCCAACATCGCTCATGCCTAGGTCGCCCATCAGCTTCTCGCCGATTGCAGAAGGGAACAATAAGTTAAGTGATCGGAATAAATACCTGCTGAGTGTGCATCGGTTTTAAAATCCACGAGATTTCATTTCCCACGTCATGTAGATCAAGCAATGTGATGCCATGTGTAACGAGCGCTTGAGCTAGTTTTATTGGTCTGATAACTCTTGTATGTGCCCTTTTGAGTAACTCTGCAGTGTATGTAGTTATGTAGTTAGTTATGAACGGGGAATGACCTTCCTTAACAGTAATTGATCGGCCCATTTATATTTCCATACTGCTGGATAAACTAGTTACCCACCCACCCACACGCTCTCATCTGCCCCTCCAAACCGTCCCAACTGTCCCAAGCGAGGGGCGCCATGGGTTGTCCAAAATGGGGAAAAAGCAAAGAGAGCCGGGAAGAGCGGGAGACGAATAAGCATGCAGACCGCTGTGGGGGGCTTTGCTCTGCGTAATCTAGCATCCCTGACTTTCTTCGCTTGGGTTAAGCTTGAGGCCTGACCCGAGAGAGGGGGTCAGCGATAGTTTCGATGAAAAAGAGTTGATGACGACAAAGTAAGTTATACACCTGTTATTCGATAAGTATTGCCTCCCATTTCTTGGCCTTAATTGAGTTATTGGGAGAGAAGCCACAACTCTCTCGGCTCTCATCATTTTAACAACTCAATAGTCCGTACAACCATCGTAGCGGGGATGTGAGAGGAGTTGGCCGTCCGTGTCGCTTGGGCATCAACGGCGCCGCAGCTCGGGCTTCAGAATAATGAGCTAGACGGAGTACGGAGTAACTAACTACGCAGTAGTAGGCTCTTGGTGTATTTCTGCTTTAGCCACTGGTTAGTGGTCACTGCATTAACTAAGCTGTAACTAACCAAGTTACTCCGTAGCTAGTTGCCATTTGGAGCAAACAGCGATTCTCCCCCCCCACATTGGTCTGTGAAAGTACACGTTGATCTGTTGTTCTCTCGTAGCCTCGTAGGCACGACATACCGCCTGTTTCTTGAGGCCGGTCCCTTTAGCACAGTTATTGTTGCGCATGTTATAGTTGACCCTGACTGCTGGGACGGAACATTTGCCATGATGCAAGAATAGTTCACACCAGCCGCCATACGAACCTGACTGTCGGGTCCAGCTGCGTAGGTTGGACCGTTCCGCTGGGAATCCGGTGTGCTGGGAATCTGGTTGGGTTGAGGGTGGTTGGCGAAGAATCGTAACTAGCGGACGGGGGCAAAATAACCTGCGTTTCCCACGCTGAAGAACCGATCCAGGCGGGATTTCAAACTGGCCCAACCCAACCCCTACGTGTCTATTATTTATCCTAGTCTTCTGTACTTCTTGTTCCTCGTTGTACGCAGCGTACATAGCTCCTAGCCGTGGGTGGTTTCCATTTCCAATCGACGAAGAGGCTTGCATGGGTTTGGCAGGTTCCTTAACTGTAGTTTAGGCGTCCTTTAACTATAAACTTCCCTAGACCGACCTCCCTAAACTTAGGCGCACTTCCTGCGCCGACTAACCCTCTATCGCCTTCTGCACTTACTCAACATTGGGCCCTATTTTCATCAAGCTTGGTTACCAACAGTCTACAGATATGGCTGCGCAATGTTCAAGCATAGATGCCGGCGGTCCTCTTCAAAGATCATAAGCCGGTTCGAATTCATAGTTACCCCTTTACACTTCAGCGCTTCCCTGACGATCTCATACACGCCCCGCCAGCGGAAATGAGGGACGGTTGAAACTGGTATAACTATTGGGGTTATATACTTGATATGTGCAAGCAGATAACTATCTCTCCGTCAACAAATTCAGGAGTGCAACTTAAATGGAAGTCAGCCAGCCAGTTCCCGCGACAAGAAATTGAACTCCATTGTTTAAATGATTAAAAAATAAGAAAAAGGTGCGCAGGTTCTTAGAGTATTCCCTAATTGACCAATACCAGTATTCCAAATACCCAGCCCATTTAAGAGAGTGGTGACATTTGACATTTTCTCCCTCAATATATGCAGCCATGACCATGCCCACGTACTCTGAAGCGGTAATTGAACGGCGCAAACTCCAACCCCACACTCTCACCCGCTACTTAATAAATGTAGCTCAGACCATGGGAGGGGGAAGAATTATTGGCCAATTTGTAGAATTCCATACTCCGTACAACTTGGTAAAATGCGGGTGGGCACTATGAGGTTTGCAACAGGCCAGTGGGAGAAAATAATGGAATGGATAAAATGGTGCTATCACCCCCTCGAATCTTGTCATCGGACACAGCGTCCCGCAACGGATGGTGGGGGAGAAGAGGAAGCTACTTGGGGGCAGGGCAGCAACAAGAGAGTTGATTGAAAAAGAGACAGGCTTCTAACAGTGGTGATTTGATATTCTGTGTAATAATTCTTAATTGCTACATAAAAGAGTTGGGTGATTGTTAAGTCTAGTTGATCTCGGTCTGGCTCGAACCCTTGCAGGCTACGGTCATGGTCAACGAAGGAAACACAATATACAATATCCAAACCCCTTCTTCTTCTTCTCTCCATTCATTCATAATTCCAGCATCAAACGTGCTTAGACCATCAGGCAGCTTCGTGCAGCACGTGGTAATATGTAACAAGCGGATAGAAATCCTACATTTCAAAGCCATGTTTTGCAACTAGGTAGAACTATTAGCCGTTGGTGTTTCAAAAGAGCACCGAGGAAACGAGATCAATGAGAAAAAATGGCAATAAGTGTATCAGATATAATGCCTTGTCAAAGGCGGTGGTCATCAGTGTATAGACTATGTTGACCGTCGTGATAAAAAAAGGTAAAAATCATCATGCAAGGGTGGCGCTAAGGGAGACAAGGGAGTATAGAAGAGGAACAAAAGAAGTGAGGGGCATTACACACCTGAATTGCGGCATACTGTATCAAGGACTCAAACTGTGTTTTTTGTCTTGATTCAACGGTTAGCACCAGAACAGTGGTTTTTTGTTCAACATCATGTTCGATAGCAAAAGGCAAATCAGGTAGTATGGGACTATATCGTCTTTGTCGACGGAAGCCGACTTGGACATATGCTTGTCTTTTTTAATGTCACGTATCATCATGAAGACGTAGGGAAAGCTTGTGGTTGATGCGACGTACAGTTAGTGGTCTGTGAAGATACATCAAGTGTAACCATTCTATCCGTTAGCTGCGTTACGCAGGAGTCAGTGAAAACCCTGATAAAATGGATAGATGCTATCAAAGGAACATAATATTTTCAGAAAAGCATGAATGGTATTTATAAAAAAATAGGTTGTCTGCATCGAAAACTCGAATAAGACTCGTCATCTAGGGGATCATCATAGAAAGGTATGATATGAAATGATATAGGAACCATCACTTGAAATGTTCATGTACACACCTTATACGTCTGGCTTACCCCGAGTGAGTGTGCAATAAATATTGCCATTACTCTGCAAGTATTCGAAAATATATTAGAAAATAGATCTAAACATCGAAATCGTGATAGCAGACAGCATCGGACTTGAATAAATCAGTGGGCAAGGTTTTCTAGGCCTGCCACGAAAGGGCATGTCCATCATAACCGGGTTGTTATATCAACACCGTCAGAGCCCAGTGCCATTCATCCTAGAAAGTATGGTTGGTGGGTGGGATAAAAAGGAAATTACGGCTAGTCTCTTACGGAAATAGAGCTAGTCCCTCCCATCGAAGTGAGTCGGAGCTGCGTTGTTTAGGATCAATGGACCATTAAGGGTCATCTGCTGCACTTGGCGGGGGTTAGCGGATGCAGATAATCAATAATATATATATTGGTGAGAATACAAGTGGAGGAAGTGAGAGTTTGAATCAGTAATAGCCATTTTATATCGTCAACAACCCGAAGGTCTCGGCCGGTAATTTCCAGCGTATATTATACAAAAATTGATCATCATATGAGGGCAGGTTGTTTTGAAGAGTGGTGTGGACAGGAGAAAGAGCATACCCATAGTGATTCCAGAATCCAAGCCATGGTTTCGTGGTCAAATGATCTGTTGGATCTGTTTTTTTTATTGTCAGCGTAATACTTTGTCGAGCTAATACCAGAGGTAAACCCTCAAACGTATAAAATCAATCAAAGTCAAAAATAATATCAGTCTGACGTGCAACGTAGTTTCACACCCCTGAAGGGGTCAAAGACTCTAGTTTATGCGGTTGTGCTGGATCATCACCAAAGTAGAGAGAAGAGCAGGATTGCGAGAAACACAGGGAACAACATACCAGGTTAGTGCTGACTTAAACACATGGGCGAGAATTGAAGACAAAACGTGGTCACAGCATTAAGATGCCATTTGGCTTCCCAGATGCAATTGTTGAGAACATTGCGTTTCTGTTGATTATGATTATTATTATTATTATTGTGGACGTTGGAGAAGAAGGCTGTGAAAGGAGGGAAAAAAAATCGAGCTTTTCTATGAGCGGCTTACCGAGACGCCTTACCTAATACGGTTACAGCAGCTTCCCTAGCTGTTTGCACTGTTTGTTTGTTTAGAATCAACCCGTCATGTGATCCAGCCTTCCGTTCTTGAACAAGTAAAAATCGCAAGAATAAGGAACCCATTTAGATCATGATAGCTATTATAGGTAGATCTGAAGCCATTTTCCGCCCCTGCTGTAGCTATCATGTTTGATTCTCCCTTTTTCTAGGCGCAGTGGTTAAACCCCATGTGACAAGGCAAACAAAGGCCTTTCTTTTTGCTTAGAGAGAGAGGAGAGAGGAGAAAATAGTAGTAGCCGGGAACCACTGAACCACACCGAAGAAAGTGACTCGAACCAGACCCCCGAAAATAACCCGGGACTCGGGACTCGGGACTCGGGAGAGGGCTTGGCGGGGTTCCGAACAGCTCAAGCCCTCAAGCCCTCAAGCCCTCCTCAAACCCAGCAGCGAGGGAGAGCCGTCTTTTTTCTTTTCCCTTTTTGTTGATCAGAGCCAGCATCAGAATAGGATCAATTTCCCATTATCATTCTTATCCTTATTATCGGTATTGTTTATATTCAATATTCAATTTTAATTATATTATTATTACTATTATTATTATTTTATTATCATTCCTTTCAGCGCCCGGTTGTCCACGGGACGCACTGGGTTTGCTGGGAACCAACCAACGCAGGCGGATCGGTCCCCGATTGGCCAGCCCAGCCTTTTGCCTGCCTTTTGCCTGCCTTTTGCCTGCCTTTTGCCTGCGTTTTCCGCGCTGGTTCTCAGGCTCCATAGTTACATATTATTAATATTATTATTTGACTCGTTGGCTGCGGAGTCCAATATCATATCACGACAATGGACGCGGCTATACAGAAGTATATAATAATAATAATAATAATAATAATAATAATAATATATTGTCCTCCTCCTCTCCGGGCGCCCCCCCCCCCCCACGCAACTAGAAACCATATCCCACTATTCCTTTCTTGTATTCTATTATTTCCTCAGACAATTTAAATTAATTGAGTTAGCTAGTTCCCTTTCCTCTCTCGTCTCGTTCTTGATATCGGTGTGCAAACACTCCTATATATAGAGTTCCTTGATATTACAGCTATCAGCTATCTATCACCAAGCTTCCGCTCACCCCGCCGCCTTTCTTTCTCCCCCCCCCACCAGTTAATTCTCCCCCGAAATCCGTCACCATGGCTGATGCAGACCGCGCCTCTACTCCTCCCGTGGGCCAGGAAAAGATCAACACCGATATCATCTCCCTCACACGCTTCCTGACAGAGGAGCAATCGAAACACCCAGAAGCCACTGGCGATTTCACGTTAGTTGAATACATAATCCCCTTTTTATCAATAATATATATATATATATATAGCTCATGAATTATATACCAATTGACTAAACCTCTATTACAGCCTTCTCTGCCATGCCCTCCAATTCTCCTTCAAATCCATCTCATACTACATCCGCCGCGCCACCCTGATCAACCTCACCGGTCTCGCAGGTTCCGCCAACACCACCGGTGACGACCAAAAGAAACTAGACGTCATCGGCAATGACCTCTTCATTGCCGCAATGCGCGGATCCGGCAAGTGCCGCATCCTCGTCTCCGAAGAAGAGGAGGAGGCCATAATCTTCGACGAGAGCCCCGAAGCCCGATACGCCGTCGTCTGCGACCCCATCGACGGCTCCTCCAACCTCGACGCCGGCGTCTCCGTCGGCACCATCTTTGGCGTCTTCAAGCTGACCGACGAGGCCCTGGCCCCGAACTACACCGTCACCGCCAAGGACGTCCTCCGCCCTGGCACAGAACTCGTCGCCGCCGGTTTCACCATGTACGGCGCCTCGGCTCAGCTCGTCATCACAATGAAGGGCGGCACGGTCAATGGCTTCACCATGGATACCTCCCTGGGCGAGTTCATCCTGACGCACCCCAACATGCGCCTCCCCGCCAAGCGCGCCATCTACAGCGTCAACGAGGGCAACTCCATGTACTGGGATGACTGGGTGCTCGAGTACTTCAAGGACCTGAAGTACCCGGCCTCCGGCAAGCCGTATAGTTCTCGATATATCGGTAGCATGGTTGCGGACGCGTACCGGACACTGCTGTACGGAGGCGTCTTCGCCTACCCGGCGGACAAGAAGAGTCCCAAGGGGAAGCTGCGAATCCTGTACGAGTGTGCGCCCATGGCTCTCGTGTTTGAGAATGCGGGCGGCCAGGCGCTTAATTCGCACATGGAAAGACTGCTTACCCTTGCTCCGGAGCATATCCATGACCGTAGCGGGGTGTTCTTGGGCAGCTACGATGAGGTTGAGAAGGTCAAAGAGTTCCATCGGAAGCATGCCAAGTAGGCTGAATCTTGTTTTTGTTTTTGTGTTCTCTTTTCTTGCCTTCTTCCGGATGGTTTAATCCCAGCGTCATCAACCTTTCCATACTGTTTATTGGATCCACCCTCACTCCATATGTATATATATACATATATCGCGTCATCATTGCGTACAGAGTGAGTTTTAAAAAATCTAGCTAAATTAGTTACTACTATATCATCATGTAAATAGCAGAGAAATACTGAGATATCCAGACCCACGTCCTCCTGTACTGTGTAATTTTATCCTAAAGTTCCTCCATACTTACTGTACATACATCTGAGAGATATCCCCCGAGGGAACCCCTCCGACCCCTCGAAATGTCAAAAGCCAACTAAGGTAACTAGTTCCCTTTTAGGAGGAGAAACTGAACCCCCACGCCGAGTTTCCGCAAGGGGAGTCCAAGAGTCATCAGCCAGCCAGCGGAATGGAATGGGATAACTAACTACGTAACTTCGTTACTTCCATAGTTAATCATCGAATTTTCCTAGCTTCGATCTCCAACTGACCAAATCATTATTGACTAACTTATTAAGGCATGAATGCTGACTATTCCTGCTGCATGAGAGCATTGCTGAATTTGATTTTATAACATTCAGCATTTTTCTCTTTCCCCTTCTTCTTCTTCTTCTTCTTCTTTTCTTTTCTTTTCCTTTTTTGACACTGCTCTGAATAGAGTTTGTTATGCCGATGCGCTCAACACACTATACACCTTTCCTGCTCACTCAAAATGTGTTTTTCATTCTGGAGTTTCTTGGGCTTGCTTGTAAGAGGCAGAGGTGGCCATGTCTGCCATATTCAGTTTGAATAATGGATGGACCGGGAGAGTCCGGATTGTCTGTCTGGGAATGGAAATGAGTGTTGGCTGGATGCTCTATCTGGGGCTACGTGACTTACAACACCTAGAATGAACGGGCAACAGCAGATCACAGAACAGCATCATGTGGCTTTCATTCTGGCCGCCATGACGGCAATGACTGGTAATAATGAATGTACGGAGTACGCTGTATTATTCTTACCATCTGGGTAGTTACAGAGTTACTAGGTATTGCTATTACTAGCCCTCTGTCTTGCCGTTACCATGGGGCATACAGCGTACACTTTTTGATGTGGTGCCAAAGAAGTAGATCGTTGGTGCCAACTCACTCAGGCTGAAAAAAACATATTAAACCTCATTAAAAGTACGTGCACTAGAGAACTATATCCACACCCCAGGACCCTTAATTAATATTTTTTTCATATTTAAACTCTCTTCTAATTCTAATTCTATGTACGGAGTACAGAGTAATTATTATTGTGCTGACACTAAGTTAAAGGGATTGATAGACAAGTTAGACTGGATTAGTAATATGTGAATACTGTGTGTGGTGTGGGGTGTGTGCTCCGCACTGTGTGTTTTATTTTAGAGAGAGCACTAAAGTTGAACTGTGCCCAAAAATACGGGGTCAAAACTGTAATCTGTGATACCATGTAACTTATTAATGCGATATTGATTGGCTGGCCTTGTCTGCTTGCCTGAGTGCTGCGTCTGGGGAAGGTGGGCCTGACCAAACCAGACTAAACTACATACGACTTAGCGTGTAATATTATCACCCTTCTACCAAAAATACCCCGTAAATTACGGTCAGACAGTTACCCGGTCCTGGCCCAAAACCGGGGAAGAGACGAACCTCGGCCGAGTCCGGATGGGGGAGAAGCTTGTGAGAGGAGAGGCAGAGGGAAGGAACGAAGGAGGAAAAGGAGGAGGAAAAGAAAGCTTGTGATTGTGTCTGTTGTCTTCTTTCTTCGTCTGCGCTTCTTTTTCTCTCCCCTTCTTCTTCTTCTTCTTTTCTCTTCTTCTTCTCTTCGCTTCTTCTCCTTCTCCTTCATCATCATCATCATCATCATCATCGTCATCATCTGCTTCTTGTTCATCTGCTTCCTCTCTGTAAGAAGTAGTTAGTAGCTATCACGCTTGTCCGCCCCTCTTCGATTGTATCTTATCTCCCGCCATGCCTCCCAGGGTTATCGTCGTTGGTGGTGGACGTAAGCTGGCCACCCTTTCCCCGGATTCATGCTCTCTCAATGTTCTCATTCTCTCTTGGGCTCTACTAATAAATAGGTTTATGATACTGTAGTGTCCGGCCTTAGTGCGGCTCACACCGTCTACCTGAATGGCGGCAATGTCCTTGTCCTTGACAAGCAAAGTAAGTATAGTGCTTCCTCTCGAAGTTTTCCAATGTGGTTGCTCTTCCTCTTCCTCTCCCTGCCAGTATAATCGTATGATCATCTAGCTAATCCCATACCTTGCTTCACCCAGACTTCTTTGGCGGCAACTCTACCAAGGCCACCTCAGGTATCAACGGCGCTCTCACCCGGACACAAACTGATCTAGGCATCGCGGATAGTGTGAAGCAGTTCTACGAGGATACCCTCAAGTCCGCCAGAGACAAGGCTCGTCCAGACCTGATCAAGGTCCTTACCTACAACTCCGCCTCCGCCATTCACTGGCTGCAAGAGATCTTCAACCTTGATCTGACTCTAGTTTCGCGACTCGGGTTCGTATTGATTTTATCTTTTCTTCTTTTTCTCTTTTCACTACTACTACTTTGTGGTGATTGTAATGCGCTTAGTAGAGGGACTAGGTGTTGATTGATTGATTTGTATAGAGGACATTCCTTCCCGCGAACGCATCGTGGCCATGATGCCAAATTCCCCGGTATGGCCATCACATATGCTCTTATGCAGCGCCTCGAGGAGCTCACGGAAAGTGAGCCAAACCGCGTCCAGGTGCTTAAGAAGGCCCGCGTAACCGCCGTTAACAAGGAAGGAAACAAGATCACTGGTGTCACATATGAATACAACGGCGAGACACACATAGCTGATGGTGTCGTTGTTTTGGCTACCGGTGGTTATGCTGCTGATTTCACGGAAGATTCTCTTTTGAAAAAGTGGAGGCCAGACACCTTTAATCTGTCTAGCACAAACGGTGTCCATGCCACTGGTGATGGTCAAAAGATGCTCATGGCTATTGGTGCCAATGGTATTGATATGGACAAGGTCCAGGTCCACCCAACCGGTCTCATTGACCCTAAAGATCCTGACTCCAAATGGAAGTTCTTGGCTGCTGAAGGTATGCTTAACTCCTGGTATACGTGCTCGTCAACAAAGTACTGCGTTGTCTAACAATGATGCTGTAAAATAGCTCTTCGTGGTGAGGGAGGCCTTCTCCTGAACTCTGATGGCCAGCGGTTCGCCGATGAGCTTGGCCACCGAGATTACGTTTCTGGTGAGATGTGGAAGGAAAAGGAGAAGGGCAAGTGGCCCATCCGCCTCATTCTTAACAGCAAGGCTTCCAATGTTCTTGACTTCCACACTCGCCACTATGCCGGTCGTGGCCTGATGAAGAAGATGACTGGCAAAGAGCTGGCCAAGGAAATTGGCTGCGGAGAAGCCGCTCTTAAGAAGACGTTTGATGAGTACAATCAGATTGCTGATGGCAAGAAGAAGGATCCATTTGGCAAGAAATTCTTCCACAATGGCCCAGTGAACGTTGACGATACATTCTATGTTGCCCTCATGCAGCCCGTTCTTCACTTCACTATGGGTGGAATTGAGATCAACGACAAGGCTCAAGTCTTGAACGCAGAGAAAAAGCCCTTCGAGGGCCTGTTTGCCTGTGGTGAGCTTGCTGGTGGTGTCCATGGTGCCAATCGTCTCGGTGGCTCCTCTCTACTGGGATGCGTGGTTTACGGACGTGTTGCCGGTGACTCTGCTAGCCAATTCCTCTTCCAGGAGCTTCTCTCCAACCCCTCTGCTACTGCCTCATCGCGCCTGAACCAGATCTCTCTTCATATTGACCCGTCCCAGCCTGGCAAGGTCTCGGTTGAATGGACTACTCCATCCGGTGGAAGTGGCGGCTCAACATCTGTCCAAGCTGCTGCTGCTCCCGCAGCCCCTTCGAACGCAGCTGCTGCCCCTGCCAAGGCCGCGGATGGTGCTGCTGATCTCGCGAACTTCAAGGTTCCAGAGAAGGAATTCACAATGGAAGAGGTTGCCAAGCACAACAAGAAGGATGATCTATGGATTGTTGTCAAGGGTGTCGTGATGGATGTCACCAATTGGCTCGATGAGCACCCTGGTGGTGCTCAAGCTCTCTTCAGCCACATGGGCAGGGATGCAACTGAAGGTACTTATCTGCCATTTCATCAGCAGATTTTTCCTTCTTCCGTTTTTAAAGTTTGAAATGCTAACAGCTTTCCTGTTTGCTTTTGCCTTTAGAATTTGAAATGCTTCACGACGACGAAGTCATCCCAAAATATGCGGCGGATATCGTCATCGGACGCGTCAAGGGCCAGACTCCCAGCCTTGAATACTAAATTGAACTCGGCTCGCTCGCCCCATATGATGATGATCCTTTTGATCGTTTACCCCTCGCTTAACCCCACCACGATCGGCGTATCTTACTAGACCGTGAATCCACTCCCATTCTTGGACTCTCGTGAGCACAAGATTCGGAGAGCCGAAATCGCCTTGTATATTATATCACCATCTTCACCATCTTTCAAGCACCAAAAAAAAAAAAAAAAAAAAAAAAAGGGCTACTATGATGGGTGATATTTTGCCTTCTCGTTTGATCTGATTTGGCATTTTTTGCATTTTTTCCCTCTCTTCTTTTGATCTACTCTCGTACATTTTTGAAATCCAATACCTTTTTCTGTGTACATGATTGCATTTTCCTTCGCAGCTTTTATTGTAAAAAATCAGTTTTCAAGCTGTAGAAATAAAAGAGCATATCGATTTGACTTTATCCCACTGTTACATACTTCAAATACTTCAATGGTTTGGTGTCGGGCTGTAGTGTCGCTGTCTTCTCTGTCTCTCAGTGCCATGTAGAGATGGAAGGAAATCCGCTGCATGACAAATTCAACCAAGCCCTACCCCTTCTACCAGCCTGTGGGAAGATCCGAACACAGCAGCCAAGCATTCTATATTTAATGGCGAAGCTGCAAGCTTAAGTTGGAAAAACGATCAAGTGGTATCTACCTTCTCTATCCCTTGATACAGTCCGCCAATGAATTCCTTCAAATCCACCGGATAAACAGCAGCGAACACACTGCCCGCCAGGTACAAAACAACCGCCGTAACGAAGACATTGACACGTTGCCTCATGGTAATCCCGTCTCCACGCCCAATTCCCTCCCCATAACACCGAGCCCGCTCCCCCTCACAAACCCTTCTCAACACCTCCACATCATCCGTGACAACCCCATCAAGCCCGTGCCGTACACACCACCGCATCAGCGCCTCCTCATTCACCGTCCACGCGAAGACGTGCTGGCCCGCAGCCTGCGCGTCGGCGAGGAAGCGCGCCCCGCCGGGCCCCATCAGGGCTTCCAGTTTCAGGTTGAAGATTACGTGCGGGACGCGCAGACGCAGGAATTGGCGGGCGTAGGAGAGGGAGAAGGAGATTAGGCAGACGGGATAGGTGGGGAGGTGGGTGTGGGAGAGGATGAGATATTTAGCCTGGTAGCAGATGGTTACATATATCGCTGGCTTTGCTATAGGGAATAGGATGTAAACTTACTGTCCAACAGCCGAGGATTATCCTTTCATTCCATGGTTTGTGTTCTGGACGGATGGCGGTGGAGCGGAGTAGGTCGGCGAGAGCACGCATGATTTTTTGGGCGGGGTTGTCTAGCTATTTATTTTATTGTAGTAAATAACATTAGCACGATTTTAAAAAATGAAATGGAAATATATATAAAACAAAATCGGATGGATAAACCCACCTTTATATCCAATAGCAGCCTTACATGTTTCCGCTCCGGCGCAGAAGAAATATACCGCAACAAATCAACCAGGCGCGGCATGGGGTCGAAGGGTTCTCTAATCGTCCGTAGCGAGCTTAGATACTGCCAGTCGCAATCGATGACCCGTTTTTCGACACCAAAGCAGCGTTGGAGGGTCGCATCCTTGTTTGATGGCGGTTCGTTAATCAGAGTGGGAAAAAAATCACAACGGCATTTCATTTCTGAGAGGTGGAATAGGAAAATACAAAAAAAAAAATACTATAAGAAAAGGAAAATGTTTCTTAGCATACGTGAGATAGAACGATCTCCCCATCCCGGGAGAGATGCAGGTCAGTCTCGATGACTTGTGCGCCAGCGCTGATGGCATGTATGAACGCGCTCATGGAGTTCTCTGGGAACTTGGCTTTGGAGCCGCGGTGGGCAATGGCGATGGGGTTTGATCGTGGCGCATCTTTGCCCCGGTCTAGGTTTGCCCATTGGGCTATATATTACCGTATATTAGTTAATTGATACGTTGTGATCCCGACAGCTTTTGCGTGTTCCGGGAGAATCAAGGTTCAATGGAGAGAGGTATGATGTATTGGCATGTACTGTACAATGTACCCTTAGGAAAGTATCCAGCTTTCTCAGGCGACATTGACGAGGGCGAGATTGGCCGGTCATCTTCTTCCAAGCTGTACCCGAGCGTAGTCATCACATTCTCGAGGAGAGGCGTTTCTGCATCCATGATACCGGCTATCAGGCTGGAGTAAGGTCAGATATATTCTTTGGCTTCTTCTTCTCTTCGTGGAGAAGCGGTTGCCGGCCGAGCACGCGTCAAACTTATAGGCAAGATGGAGACCAGACGCACGAAAATGATGCCTTAGAGAAGAAAGGCCCTGGACCCGCCACAGGATGGAGCTAATATATATATAATATAAAAAGGATTATCGATAGGTGATCAGGCAACGATTGGAGTGAGCGCGCATATAGCCGGCATGCGGGGTATCAACGTGAAAATAATGAATCCATATATATATATCCTCTTGCTTTGGGCTGAAGACGAATCAATCATGTAATGAAAGGGATTCGTTCAATAATAAAGCAAGCGTCGCGAGCACGCTGGGGAATGGAGATGGAGGAGAGAAGCGGAGATCATCATCGGTCGAAAGTAACTCAGATGGCTCTTATTAGATAGGGTGGAAACCATAGCTTGAATACCTGAGGTTGCGCCATGTTTTGCGCCTGTTACAGGAAGCCATTTTTAGTAGGGATTTTATAGTTACTTAACTAGTCGTACGTAGTTAAGCAGTTTGTCCGGTCGAGGCAGAGGATATTTTATCAAAGGACCACCGCCATATCATTACTATTTACTTGGTTAGTACTAAATCCTCTGCGATGAGTTAGTGAGTGTGGAGATGAGCGAACGGGGATTGATTTATTTATTTTATATCAACTATTTTTAGCCTTTGACATGGCCACTGGTAAATATTTAATTAACTTGAGTCTTGGAAACTGTCAATTTTAGTAAAAGGTTGAACCTCGGGCTCGCTTCACAAACCGAGCAACTTTGGTCTCAAAACTCACATTCAGGTACGTAATATATTGGGATAAAACATCAAATGATTGGGGGAGATGTCAGATCTACTCTCCGCAACTAATGATTTATAATTCTTTGTGGGAACTTATTCAGTCGTGTGCACTGAGACATAGGTCTGTACAGGTCAATGAGTAGCTGCTTAACGGTGGTGATATCAAGCACACAGAAGCGAACCTAGAATCAAACCCTAAGATATTTAGTTACCATGTCCCGTAGCGTGGACCTTCGTCGACTTCTGAAAGCCTATGGGACTTTACGCGAACCTACGATCCACCTTTTGCGGCATACGCTCTATTGTTGCTCGCGATTCTAGAGAAGACGGATGCAAATGCAGAGGTTGTCCGGCGCCAACGTGCCTATCTCCGCTGTTACTCAATATGGAGGTCACTGGTCAGTCTGGCATCCTAAAGGCAAACCTGGTCAATAGAAGAGAACAATGCCGAATCCGAAGCATTTTGACATCTTTCTGGAAACGAGAATATATCAGCTTGACACTCCATGGCAAAAAGCGGCCTAAGAGACAAAACCTAGAAATTTGCGGTGGAACCTCGGACGCGGCCCATTCCAGCCGTTACTTTGCGAGATCTGGCGTTTCATGATTAACTTCAGAGAGGAAAGGTTTGATTTGCAATGGAAACTAAATATTTATACAGTACAGGCAAAATCCACCCCGCAGGGAAAAAAGGAAAAAGGGAAAAAGAAAAGGAAAAGGAAAAGGAAAAGAGAAAGGAAAGCCATAAAGACCCCTACTCCGTTCCCCATCCCTTTTACCTCCACCCCTCCACCTCCGCCTCCGCCTCGACCCTCTCCGCCCTCTTCACCTTCCTCATAAGATCCAAATACTCATTCACCCTCTTCTCCGCCCAGATACAGCCGCCTAGCGTCATCGCACTTAGCTGTATAAACACCTTGAATTGAGGTGTCAGGCCGCGGTAGACGCGTGACATTGGGGCGAGGTTGGCGGAGAGGGCGGTTAGGGGGCGGTAGAGGAGCGGGGTGCGCGGGGGTGGTCTGGGTTTGGGCTCGGGCTGGCTGTGCGAGCTGGAAGTAGTTGGGGTCGAAGAGGCGTTAGATGGGGATGGGGAGGACGCGAAACGGAGTGGGTGTGGGAGGAGGAGGATTAGGTGGGCTAGGAGGGAGATCGACCCGTACTGGAAGGGGTTGGAAGGAGTAAGCGTTTTTCGTTAGTGGTTGTGGGTTTTTTTTTTTTTTTTTATCTTTCTGATTTTGGGCTGGATGAATCAAGGGCAAAGGGTGGGTTTTTATTTTGCTTTTCCATTTTCCGCTTTTTTTTTTTTGTGTATACAAATTATATCTAGTTATATAGGTTTAACGTACACGAGTCGCGCCAGTGAAGAAACCCTTCAGTGCTTCTTGCATGACTTCGGGGGGCGGGTCAATGTTTCCGCGCTGGTTGGAAGGGGCGGGCATTGTGATAATTTATATGTATGAGTCTGTAAGTGCTGTAGGCGAGAATTGAGATATGTTGGGTTTCGATTGCATATATGGATGAGTTCCTGTCTGGCGGACAGCGACGGACGACGGTCAGCAGATGCCGAGCGGGGAGCTAGATTAGAGGTAGCCCCGGCGTTCTTTGACAACAGGGAGCGATTAACCTATAATCAACACACATTGGAACGAGAAGGGTATGCAGGTAGACAAATAGATGGACAGAGAGAGAGATTGACAAATAGATGCCTCGAGATTGATTGTTCCTCGCTGTCTTCTCGTCTCGTTTCGTCGTTTCCGTCCGTCCTCGCCGCAAACTTCCAAAAGGGACCCGGAAATACATTTGTCCGGCGTCTAAAAAAAAAGTCCCGCCAAGTCTCGTCACTCTCCTCCCGGCGGAACAAGTTCATCGACAACATCATCCACCACCATATTCGTGCCTCTATCGCATAATAAGATCCCAATTGAATGCCTAGATTAGATACCCACGGGCCACTTTAGCATACGTACAAATCGCACACGAAAAATACTACCATTTTTCCCTCCTCGCCCCTCACACCTCACTCCACCCACCATGTCCCTCCCCCGCCGGACAACAACCGTCACCCGCCTAACCGGCGAGACAAAGGTCCAAGTTTCGCTCTCCCTTGACGGCGGTGTGCTTCCGGCCTATGAGACATGTGAGCACTTTCCACAGGCAAGCCCGGAGGAAGCGACCCGCATAGTACCCGTTCCCGAAGCACGGCATTCCACCCAATTCACCCCTACGCAACAGATCACTATAAATACCGGCATCGGGTTCCTTGACCACCTACTACATGCGCTGGCAAAACATGCTGGGTGGAGTTTGGCGGTGCGGTGTAAGGGGGACTTGTTCAGTTAGTTCTCCCGCCTCTTTTTTCTCTCTTTGACATGTTTCCCCGATACTGTTTTTACATGTTTGATGGCGTATCTCTCCCGCCGTCCGTCCGTTTCCTCATGCATGGGTGCAAATATCCTCTTACCCTCTCACGTACATAGAAGAGGGCAAAAATGCTGATTCATTCGTGCAGTCGACGACCACCACACAGCAGAAGACACCTTCCTTGCCCTCGGCACCGCCTTCAAACAAGCGCTAGGCCCCCGCCTCTCCCTCGTCCGCTTCGCCCGCGGCGACGCTCCCCTCGACGAAGCCCTCTCGTGGGCGGTAATTGACATCTCCTCGCGGCCCTATAGTGTGATAAACCTCGGCCTGAAGCGCGAGAAGATTGGCGCGTTGAGCACGGAGATGATTCCTCATGCGCTCGAGAGCTTTGCGCAGGCGGCGGGTGTCACGTTGCATGTTGGTTGCGTTTACGGGGATAATGATCATCATCGGGCGGAGAGTGCTTTTAAGGCTGTTGCGGTGGCGACGAGAGAGGCTTGCCGGAGAAGAGTGGAGGGAGAGGTTGGGGGTGGTGGGGAGGTGGGGAGTACGAAGGGGGTGTTGTAGTTTTTTCTTTTCTTTTCTTTTCTTTTTCTTTTTCTTTTTCTTTTTCTTTTTTTTTTTTTTTTTTTTTTTTTAACCTCTTCCACTGTCTCCTATTTTTCTCAGTTTAAATTTCTCTGCTTCGCCTTTTCTTTTCGTTTCTTTTTCTTTTCTAGATTTATTATATTTTATTAGCCTATTTTGACTTCCAGTGGTCGAAGGAGTTCTTCGTTTCCATTGTGACACCGCTTTCCTCTCTTTCCACTTATTCTCCTAGTCTTTCTTCCGTCTTCCTCTAATTTCTCTAATTTCACATCCGCGTCTACGTAGTAAAGAACAATGAATGCCGGAGGAGTTGGATAGCTTGGCTGGGGCAGGCAAGAGCAGATGAAAGTATCTGCTGTGGACATGTAACTATATTTAGCTCTAGTTGAAAACCCCTTGCCCGCACCACTCTGTATCACGTGACTTCTAATGCGCTGAGACGATGCCTCTTATTTATTTACCTGCGAGAAGTTGAAATTTATACCTAAATGATTTCTAGATCTTGTCACGTCGATCCTTTTTTGAATATTAAGCGGAAAAGCTGCGCAACTGTTTAGATGGTGCTCTATATTCCGCAGCGCCATCGCGCGTTGTTCCTAATCACTCTTCTGCTCCTCTCGTGTCTCGCCGCAACCAAAAGCTCACACGAGCAGACGCTACCAGTTGGACAGCTCTCAGCGTCACAGATAGAAGACAAGCTGCAAGTACGGAACTGGCTGTTTTGCTGACATCTAAACCGGAGATGGTGGGATCTCATAGCTAATTGATTAATTGAACTAGGAATGCCCTCTTGTCCAAGAACTGAACGCGCGTAAACTTGCATCAAGCCCCGAAACCACAAGCTTCACATCTAAGCTCTTCACGATTCTTTTCCCTGGAAGCCCGGCAGTCAATGCTATATTAGCTACACTCTACATATCTGGGCCACCTAGTATGCTGCTTATAAACCGAGTCCTGACACTGCTCCCCGCTCACAATTGGCAGATTTTCTCCTCGCATTATGTCCTCCAGACATCAATCCTTCGTCCCTATCCATCATGGTTGCGTTTGCGGTTGGTGGGCTTCTGGGTGATACGCTCTTCCATCTGCTGCCGGAGATATTCCTAGGCGAAGATTCACCAGAACATGTCCGCTTTGTCCTCGTCGAACCAAATAGAAACATCCTCCTTGGCCTTGCTGTTCTTGTCGGGTTCATGACTTTTGTGGCGATGGACAAGGGGCTCCGCATCGCTACCGGAGGAGTAGGCGGGCACGATCATAGCCACAGCCATACCCATGCGGCGGAAGGTAGCGTCGCAATATCCTCCGGCTCCACAACCTCCAACAAGGAAAATGTGGGCGAGCTAAAGAAGCGCAAGTCAGACTCCAAAACAGAGGCCAATAATAATAACCTCTCAGAGGTCGACAAGAAGGAAGTAAGCCCCAGCACCAAGCTAGGCGGATATCTCAACTTAATTGCGGACTTTACTCACAATATTACCGACGGGCTTGCGATGTCCTCATCCTTCTATGCATCCCCGACCATCGGCGCGACAACGACCGTTGCTGTTTTCTTTCATGAAATCCCCCATGAGGTCGGTGACTTTGCACTACTGATCCAATCTGGGTTTTCCAAGCGCAAGGCAATGGGTGCTCAATTCGTCACTGCCATTGGAGCCTTCCTGGGAACTTTCATTGGAATTGCGGTTCAGGAGTTTGGCGGCAAAAGTGAAGCAGGAGACTTATCAGATGCTGGGGCGATGGCGACACAAACAGGCCTTCTGGGCACGAGTTTGGCAATGAAAGACCTGCTTCTTCCCTTCACTGCAGGTACATTCTTGTATGTCGGCACTGTTGCAGTTATTCCTGAATTATTGGAGACGGGCAAGAATAAAGGGGAGGAGTTGAGGAAGACGGCAAAGCAATTTATTGCTATGGCGGCTGGGGCGGGCATTATGCTTTGGTAAGTTTGATTGGTGATTATATACCTGCATTGTTCGTTCAGTTCACTGATTCTTTCTTTTTTTATCAAGGATATCATGGGCCTGAACGAGGGGAGTTACCCTTTGGACTCAATATTACCGAAAAAGGGAAAAATAAGAGCATCGACGACGTGGCTAATACTCGAAAGAGAGTCAGTAGTCAGTAGCATGCTTCCTCGCAGCCCTTCGCAACCCTTTTGTTTAAGTCTAATGCTCGACATGACCAACATAAGCTGGTCTACTACAGTTATACACAGGACGATAGAGTATATAATGCTTGTCAGATTTCCAATATACAGGCAAATGACTAGAAAATATCTTAAATCTAAATTTGTAATACGACAAGGAATGCATCGATAGCACGAAAATAGGCCCAAGAGATACTCGCCTCTTTTAGCGTAAAAATTTACGTAGGTAAACGATGCGGAGTAGTAGAAAGTCTCTTGCTATCAGGTATTGTAGCTTGCGACAAAGTTTACATTGAGCTATCCATGGAGACCTAACATGGAGGGAACCGCTTCACTGTACATAACTAAGCAGATCACAAAAATGAAACAAAAGAGGTATTGCAAAATAAAGAACTAGATACTCCAGGACCCAGAAGGATGTAAATGGGAAAAAAAGGGAAACAGGGAAATTTCGGACCGGATCAATCAAGAGCAAGAGAAGGGGATGAACGATGAAATAAGGAGCGGGCGGAAAGATATTGACTAAAAACCAGTTTATGCGTAAGTGCAAAATTAATGATGAAAATGGTGGATGGAAATCAGTTCACTCATTATAATGATATACCTGTAATCAAAAAAGAAGTGTTAGTGGAAATATGCCATGCACTCCGGTAAGGTTTATGAGAATGGTGCCATATGGCACCCTCAAAAATGAACATGAGGAACTCACAAAATAATTAGGCAATCCAAAGCACGTCCACCCAAGCCTTCGCGCCATCTTTGCAAAACCTTCCGTTTCTACCAGGTTGTAGAATGGGAATGCCGGGAACATTGCACCATCGCGATGAACGTCTGCCTTCACCATCAACGCTGTTCCCCCGACTCCGTCAAGTGGCATTATCTCATCGACATTTCGGTTTGGGGATTTGTCGGCCAGGTGCGCCATCAACCTTCTATAGGTTGGCAGTTCTGCATATCCCTCCAGCATAATTTCATCTGGGCCCATGGCCTTCGCGATTTCCAGCGACCGAGCAGTGTCTACCCATGAATTGTAATCATATGGCCGTATGTCCATCTGGTTTGTTTCGGGGTTTTGGAATCGCTGATAGCAATTGGGTACGATGATTGGTTTGTTGTGTCTTGTCAGGTCTTGAATCAGGGTTGGAGGGGTCTCAACAATATCAGCATCGAGCCAGAGGACCCAGGATATCGACGGCCCCAGAGTTGTAAAGAGAAGACTGTTCCGTGCCCGACTCATAGCTTCCCGTCGTTTCTTTTGATTTTCAAATTTGTGTCGTTCCTTTTCATCCTGGGAAACAATCGGGGGATCAAAATCTTGTCGGAGGATCGTAATGCTAGCAAATCTATTAACGACAGGGCCTGATTGGGTCCGTTTAATAGCAGCCTGCAATGCTGATACCGCAGCGTTTCCCTCCGGTGTTTTTGGGATAATAAATCCCAGGGAGATGTAGTCATGTGGGAATGTAAGTTTCTCCAAATTGTCCCAGTATTCAGGGTAGAATCGAGCGAGAGGCGTAAGGATGAGGACACGCTCATGATTTTTGACCGACTCGGTTGTCGCAGTATTTTTGTTCATATTATATCGGACGACCTGGGGCGGCGCACGGTGACCATTCGGTTTGGTCGAGGGATCTCTGAGGAAGGGTTTGGTAGGAGGAGAGAGGCTGTTCGCGGCCGCATAGCTTTTCCGTCCTTGAGAAGTCGAACCAGACGCAGAATTCGACGAAGGAGAGAAGATGAAGAAGAGGAACCCGACGGAGAGTAGACCAGCTAGAATGAGAGTGAGAGGATTCGTTCTTCGGAGGGAGCGTGGTATGGCCATGGGAGGGATCTAACGGATAGGACGCTATGCGTCCAAAGAAATAGAATACAATATAAGGAAAAGTAAATATAATAATAATTTTATCCCACTGAGGCCGTCTGTTACTCGTTAAGTTGTGGTGGTGCTGTTGTTGCGGACATATTTCACGGGATGCACAAAGGGGAGCGAGGGGCGAGGTGTCAACAGCATTCAGGAAGGGAAGTCTAAATATTTAATAGTCGAAGGGGAGAGAAAAAAAAAAAATGAAAACACCTCTCCTGCAATAGAATAGAATTAAAGGAGGTGTGGAATGTAAAATTAAGAAATGAATTGAGGTGGAACAAGTACGACGGAGTAGAAGCTGGAAGCTGGAAGCTGAGCTGAGGATGAAGTTGAAGATGCCAAGTTGGCGATGTTTTCTTTTGTTTCTTTCTTTTTCTTTTTTTCTTTTTTTCTTTTTTTTCTTTTTTTTCTTTTTCTCTTTTTTTTTTCCAACCACAAACAAAATTCCCGGAGACAACAGACAACAGACAAACAACCACAACACAACCCATGCGAAAAATATAACCATTAAATATTTACACTCCACGGGGCTCAAAGATCGAAACAGATCAACCTAGGGGGTTAATGATTCCAACAATGTCGCAATGTCCCAAGCGGGCAGGGAATCACCGCAAACATCTGTTTCTTGACGTTTCCAACCGTTCTCAAGTTCCATGCTTGGATTTGTGCCTACATCCAGTCTACATATGAACAGCGCCGCCTGCGGATCTATCATATTTGTTCACAGTGACGGCATCTGATTTCATGACTCCAAGGCGGCTACGGCTACGGCTACGTCGAGGTGAAGGCGAGCAGCGAATACCCAGATCCGTGGAACTGAAGATTGCTTACGATACTGGCTTGAGGAAGTTGATTCTATATATATCCTTACAGCAAACAGCGTCTACTTCCGGACAAGGAGCGGCTGACGGTACCTTGCAGAAACGGAAATGCGAGGATACGAACCTGAAACACTTCCCTCGCCCTCGTTCAACCGGACTAATGACGATAGCACGATGACGCGAAGACAAAAACAACATTGATGGGCAAGTGCTGTGACTTTCTGGCATGCACTTAAAAGCTGGAATATCGAGTTCATGGGCGGATCTCCGCGTCCGATTAAATGATTGTGCGTGTTGATAACTCAGAAGAACTTCCTCCCTCAACAGTATCCGGTATTCTACAGCTGAACGTTGGAAGACCTCCCGCCGCCGAAGTCTATGATTTGACTGCGTTTATTGCTCCTGGTGCTGGGATTCCTACTCTTTGGCAGCGCTGAGATCGTAGGGCCGCATGCGTGCTCATTTGCTGAGCTTTAAACGGTTGCCGTTCATGAATCTACACCTCTAGGTCTCACCCATTCAGATTTTGGAGTCAGGAATTTCCAGACTCGAAACTCAAAACGTTGCCTTGCCAGGGTCATTATTAAATCGCCATAGGCATATATAAAATAGGTCTTCGGATTCTCAGTGATCGCGGATGTTTGATATTTAAAGAAGCGGCGGAGCTAGACTCCGTAGCACAGTTACTGACTGACTCTGTTCAACTAGATCTTTTCTTCCTATTAACCCATCGGGCATTGCAACGCACCCACAGCCACCCTGCCATTCTCGGGGACCTATCCTCTTCACCCAATTTTGAAATTTAATACCTTTCCCTCCCTCTCCAACCCCCATCTTTCAATTCCCTCCGCCATGGCCTCCGCAAAATCCCTATCAAACAACTCCCCGCTCTCTTTGAACGCCACCCGCCCGCTCCTCCATGTTACCCAGCTCTCTGCAAATAACCCCTCGATCGCCCTCACCAACCCAAGAGCCACATCCACTATATCCGGTCTATCCTCATTCCAATAAAATGCTGTCGCCCCGCACGTTCCACAAAACGCCCTCTTCGCCCCCTTGGAAGACTTGAACGTCTTTGTGGTACCGATGTTTAACTCAGTCCCAATAGCCGGTTCTAGCAGGCGCAGCGGCAGGAACGTCCACGCAGCCACATGCGTGCCGTTCAGCAAGCGACAATCGTCGCAGAGATCCAGGCACGCGACCCACTTGCGCGGATCGGTGGGTGAGACGAATGCATTCAGTTCGGGATCGTCGAGGATGGCTTGTGTTGGGTGGGGGAACGTGAAGGAGACCCCACCGCAGTGGCATTCCGCGCGGAGCCGCTCCTCCTTACCATCTGCACCGCCCAATTCGACCTTGGCCGGTGCTGGGGCGGGGAGTAGGATGCGTTTAGCATTTGGTGGGAGGAAGTGGCCCGGGTATACTTGTATATCGTGCCCGCCGATACGAGGGAGGAGTTGATGTAGTCCCACCCCGCCCGGGGCGGAGTCGGTGAAGATATGTTTGTCTATTTGGAAATTGGCTGGGCTGTGGTCGGTGAAGATGGAAGTGGAAACAGTCCAGTGTTGATTGTCAGAGGCATTTTGTGCCTCCGCCTCCGCCTCCCGCCCCCCCTCCTTCTCCTTGCTGTTGATAGGTTTTGCAGGCCAGATGTCACCAATTTGACAGCCACAGGTGCTACAGAAAGCACGCTCGCAGAGGGCGCCACTGGTATGTTTGTACCTGGTCAGGGCGTGTGGGCCTGAGGATGCGACCCATTGTGGGGATATACCCGCAGGCAGAGGCGCGTGGAAGGCGCATGGTGCTCCATGAACGTAGCGGCAGATGCTGCAGTGGCAGACAAGCGTGGATAGCGGGAGAGAAGTGGAGGGAATGGTGAGGTTGTAGTGGACAGCGCGGCAGAAACAGTGAGCTGTGAGGGTTTTGGTGAGGGTTTTGGTGAAGGTTTGGGTCGCCATCCTCTGTCTCCGTTCTTTTGGCCTTCTTGTATGGGTGGGTTAACTCCTCTGGAAGGCGCGATTCCGGCTTCTTAATGTATAATTATATATGCGCAGCTTACACGGTGTCTGTGATGTCGTTGAAGCTGTTACCCCTCACCGGATATCCAGAACGGGCTGCTTCCACCAATGCTCGCGAGGAATGGCGTCGTAGATTTGAAGTGTTAATTTAATACGAACCCATTTAACACGAACTCAGGTGACGAAGTTTACCGCTGTCCAGGCGGCAGCCATCCATGACAGGGATACCGGAAGGTTCATGAGCTTGGATCTAATTATGCGTGTACAGGGTTGTGAGCGAAGGCGGGCTCGTTGACGATGGTGCCTTAGCGATCCCCCGCTTGTCTCAGGTTAACCACGGCGGAACTAAGCCCGCTGCAGAAGGGTGCAGCGAGTGAGTTCTACTTATATGTTTGTTGATCATGCAAAATTTTGAAGTCGAGAACTAATATCCAGAATTGCAGTCAACCCAATCCAGTATTCTGCACCATTATGCATGTTATTTGTTCCTCAAAGACCACAAATCTACCCCAACTCCGCAGAGAACTAAGCCATCCTTTAATTTTCCATGCTCCTTATCGTCACTCTTGCCGATATGGCTTCTGAAGCTGCCCATAGATGCCATATCTGCAACTGCTGTGTACACATCTTGCAGTAGAGACACGCTAATTCCGTCCTCGCGAGGTTTCGTAGAGTCCAATTGGATTGACCAGAGTTTAAGTCGCTGGTCGTTTCCCGACGATGCGATGAGGAACCCGAATACTTGGTAGACTTGACTGTCCATACTTTCCAACCGAGTATTTTTCTCTAGGATAGATATGGTAGTTATAGCTGAGGCATGTGCTTGAGGTAATGAAATCGTGGCGAATGAATTTTTGGTCGTGTCCGACTTCGCAGTGGCACCGATTCTAAGGCGGGAAATTGAGATGGCATTGTCGTCCCCACCAGCCACAATTAGATACTCCCCGTCAGATAGAGAAGATATCTCCATGGCTTTGATGCTGCTCTGATGGATGCAGTGCCGATGTTGCCAGCTGATTATCCGGGGTTCTGTGGGGGTTTTCTTGCCTTGGAGTTCTTTCGGAATATCGTCAGCAAGAGAATACATATCGCTGAGGCTCTCGAATATTTCCCATGTGGCAACATGTCCGTCTGTAGATGCAGTAATCAATGATAACCCTGAGGTCGATTTGGAGAATTGTATTTGTGTAAGGCAGTTAGTTGTGTATCGGCCTTTGCTCAGAAGCCTAAACGAGCCACCAGAAGGACCGGAGACGTAGTGGAAAACCTTCCTTGTTAGCTAGCATCAATGATAGGAAACTGGGTCACGCTTACCTTGACAGTTGAGTTGGAATATGCTAAACAGAGTACGAACGAATCCTCGATGTCTTCTTGAGTGAAAACCTTTAGTACATCGAAACTGGTGATCCGTAGGTCGGAATCTTCTGCTGTCTTGGGACATTCCCCTTCACAAATGGTCCCCATTCCGAAACCGGGAATTGACCGAAGTCTCCAGACATAGAATTCTTCTGCTCCGGCACTGCTGAATAAAAGCTTCCCGCATGGTGACCATTGTAGGTGCTGGATACCGGCATTGTGCTTCTTCAAATTTCGGAGGCAGCGCAAACTGCCGCGCGACCTGGTATAGACCGCATCGTCGAGAAGTGATATACGAATCATAGTATCCTCCCCTCCCGTGGCAATAATTCTATGTTTGCTTTCCCCATCCTCGAATAGAACCTCCGAAATAGCCGCTACTTTAATTTCTCGCCCATGGGCACCAATCGTCACAGCACGGTGTAATACGGAAGTTTTTCTAAACAAGTTAAAGGTAGATGCTTTGGTCCATGCAAAAGTCTCGTATGCACCATTCGCGTGATATGGGTTGTAGGCCCAGATCCGATGAGCGCCGCCGCATTCAATCGCTGTTCGTTCAGTTTGGGTCGACTCATTCCATATGATAAACTCCGTGCTTTTAAACCCGAAGAGTATCAAGTCGTTCGTGGCTTTGTCAAAGTAACCGCCTTCGATATAGGGTCCAAATGGTGGGGCCAATTTGTGAATGGTTTGGAGAGTCCAGGGAGAATTACCATCACCGGTCCTAGCTAGTGAGTGGATGCAATAATACCCATCCCTTCCCGTAGTTAAAATTCGTTCGTCCTGAGGATGATATTGCTGTAGCACAGTGATTGATGTTACAGTGTCCCTTGCATGTACGTTGTAAACGGTGAGCGCTGGAACGACCGGGTGAGAGGCTTTGGCAGTTTTCAGGCCAAAAACACTTAGATGACCAGTTTTAGCCCCTAGTAATAAGCACGACCTGTGTTTAATGAAAACAGCACTGGTTGTTAGGAATGTGGGCGGCAGATCCAGGGCTATGTTCGTAAAGTCCTCAGGTGAACTTTTGTCGCCGATAAAGAATAAATTTGCGCTTGGTGTTCCCATGGATGTCGTGACAAAGGTGAGCGAGGTTATAGGGCTCTCCTTTTCATAATATTCCGTCTGTGAGGAAGCGAAGAATATACCTGTTATCTTCTTGTTCAACTGAGTCAATGTAAGGATTTCTCTGGTGTCATTCATGTACCACCAGAGAGTGCCTTTCACGTCACCTATAATCCCTATACCTAGCTCTGGATGGCCAGCAATAGAAAACTGAGATGCGGGGGAATCCAGAAGTGCAATATTCTCCCAGGAGATCGCTGGAATATCCTCCTGCTCGATCTGTTGAGGCTCCACACTTTTCATATCTGAAATATGAGCCATGTTCATCGTACCATGGGAAGATAACCCGATGATACAAGTTTCCGAAACAAAAGAGTATCGATTCAACTTGTCATCCGATTTTTGTCTGCGCCTTGGACCAGCCATTGAAGCTAAGGAGCCAGGGAGACGCAGGGAAAGATCATATATATCGTATGTCTCTACCCGCGTCCCATGCTTAAAGGAAGCTTCATTTGTGCCAATGCTGAATGAGTGTATACTTCCGTCGGCGCCTCCGGTGTAAATAGTCGTCAGATCCGATGATTTATGTACTGCCATGGACCAAATATTCTTTCCCGTATGATAGGCATGGGTTGACATATTTTGAAGAATTGCATTCCTATGTGAAGAAAAGTTCTCTCCTATAGGCGAGTCGTTTTGTAATCTCAACCCCCAAACTTGACAGGTAGCATCTTCGCCAAAAGACACGAGTGTTAAAAACTCGGTTTGTCCCGATACAGCCATATCCACAAAACGCGCGCTCCAAATTCTAGAGGCGTGACCCCATGCCTTCGCAATGCAGGCTTCGGGGTCCATGTCCAAATCATCACGGAAAATATTTCCAAATCCAGTGGAGCGTGTTGCGGGCCTTAGAGCTGCCATCGCATTTGCTTTGGTTGAAGCGGGCGAAGAACAGTCAGATATATCCCAAATCCGTATAGTTCGGTCGTCGCTACAGCTGGCCAGAAATCTCCGTGTCTGATTGTCATTCTGCCACTGGATTTCAGGCGATATATCCACTCCAAAAATTGACCCTTCGTGTCCAGTGAAAAGATGGTGTATCACAGCGGAAGAGTCTCCAGAGAAGATCGACCCAGACTCAGCAGGTAGAATACATGACCAAACAACTATTTCCCCAAAGACCGTTCCTGCAGCCACTAGAATCTGTTCTGGTGATAGCCATGAGACATCAGCGGAATATAGAACTGACTTCAATCCCGTTCCTATCCGGTGCAGTCGGAGGTCTGCCTGGTACGTTACAAAGTCATCTTCCAATTCCAACCCGAACAGAACATTATGAGCAGTTATCAGACATGCTCTATTTGCTGTGGAAGAATTGAGACCATTGTTCTCTGGTCGATAGAAATTTGCAGACAGAATCCAGTCAGGGGCGGCGCACTCGGGGCTAGAAGGGGGGGACAGTGAGCCAATTCCATGACGGTCGACCTCCAGCCTCAGCAGTCGAAAAGACTGCCCACCCCAGATGAGAAAATTCGCAACATTGATAGAGGACTTCGTTGATGTTAACTTGGCAACTTGAATACCATGTACACTGTTTCTCTCAAATATTTGAATTCGATCCAGTAGTGTACCACTGGCTTCATCAATCAGTTGTAGATATGGCCCATAGCCACTTAGAATAAGCCTACCATCCGCACTATCAACCACTTGAGTCGCGGTTACTGGGAGACAAGAGTCGAGGTGCTGAAAAATAAAGAGTCAGTATACCTGCACATACAGACAATATTATGGGTATTTTTATTACCAACCTCAAAGACGTACGACATCGATATCTCTCAATGGCGATTCTGAAGGATAGCTAGCGACTACCACAACAAAGATGATCTACGTATAATATTCTTCTTGTGAAGGGATGCACACTGTGGATTCAGGAGGCATAAAGGTTAAGCTTGGAGTCACTCTGTGTGGGTCACGTGTTATTTCAGAGACAGGTGGGATCGGAATAGTTTTCGAGTTCTGAGGATAATGTTTTCTGTCCAGGTCAACAATAATATGAACGCTTCTGGAGTGCTTCCCACCCTTTCCTTATTTTTGGCGGAATCAACCACGGAGCGTCGATCGTCGATATCGATCTTCAAATCACTCTATAGTTACTCGTAAGAAGCCCAGCCCCGGAAAAAAGCATCTGGCATGTCTCTACACAGTACGAGCCTCGCTCATATGGAGACACCTCACCTCTATAATATCCCAGCATAAAGATAGCAACAGAATTTACCAATCAACTCTAGATGTGTCGGCAAAATAGATCAAATGTAAATATACCTATAGAATAATCCCACCAACCCCCAACATTCTACTCTTCCCAGCGTCTATTGCGGCTCCTCGCCCGCAAATTTCTCCCTCAATGCCGTTACATCAAACCCACAAAGCTCCGCTCTCTTCACAATCCCTCTCGCCCTCTCCACAACAGGCACATCGATCATCATCCCATCCAACGTCCATGCGCCCCTCCCCTCCTC